GCGTGGGTCACCCGAAAACTGGCAAGGAAAAACAACGAGCGCTCCACCGATCAGTTCTGGGCCTCAACACGAATTCGCGCACGCGTGCTCTATGCGATTCCCCTTGGTAGTGCGAACCGCACACGCGACCCGCCAGCGGGCGGGCCACCCGACAACTGGCTGAGCAAACGCATTGTTTCTCTTGTGGGCAGGGGGGTGCAACATTAATTGGCGCATTCGTGCTCCATCTGCTTCCCCCGTGCAGCTCTCGCAGCACTGGTGACCCACCAGCAGGTGGGTCACCCGAAAATCGGTAAAGAAAGAAACAACTGTTTAAATCGTGTTCTGGGCCTCAGCATGACTTGGTACATTCGTGCTCCAGGCGCTTCTGATGAATGGCGCGTGCCGCGCAAGAGACCCACCACCAGGTGGGCCACCCGAAACCTGGTTGAGAGAAACACACCTCCCCCCTACATTCTGGACCTCAACATGACTTGGTGCATTGGCACTCCGCACGTTTCCCCTGTGTAGCGCCCAACGCACAGGTGACCCACCAGCGGGTTGGTCACCCAACAACTTGCGTAAACACCTATTGTTTCGCTTGCCTTCTTTGGCCCAGCGCGCAACGCACAGGTGACCCACCGGCGGTTGGGTCACCCGAACACTGCTTTGGAAACAAACAGATTGTTTCACTTGTGTGCTGGGCCTCGGCACGACTTGGAACATTGGTACTCCATGCGCTTCCCCTGTGCACCGCGCGCCGCACATGTGATTCACAGGTGGGTGGGACAACCGACGCATGGGCCGAGAAACACCATGTGTTCCACTTGCACTCTGGGCCTCATCAGCATGAGATGGTGCGTTCGTACTCCAAAAGATAACCTGCTGTATAGCACGCGCCGCACCGGTGACCCGGCCTCTCGCAGACCTCGCACAAGCCCTTTCAGAGGCCTGACGGGAGCCTCGCACAAGCTTCAGAAGTCTCGCGCAGGCCTCTCGCGCAAGCCTCGTGCAGGCTTCTCGGACGCCTCGCACCTCGCACTGGCCTTTCAAAAGCCTCGCACATGATTTGCGCAGGCCGCACAGAGGTCTCGCGCAGGCCTCTCAATAGCCTCGCAATGACCCCTCGGAACCCCGAGGGCCCTTGAGGTTCTCTAATGACCCATCAGGATTCCCCAGACGCCATCAGGACCCATCAGAACCCCACAAGATCTTTCCAAGACCCTTCAAGTCAGGGCCCCTCTGGATCCCACGCGGTACAACGCGACCCTCCCTAGGGTTTTCCACACTTCCACGCGCCCCCCCCCCCTCCACACGGTTCCCCACGGTTCCCCGCGGTTCCCCGCGGTTCCCCACAGGCCCACGCGCTTCTGTACGGTTCCTTACGGGCCCACGCGCTTCCCACCGTTCCCCCACGAGTCCACGCGCTACTCCACGCTTCCCCACGAATCCACGCGCTTCCCCACGGTTCCTTACGGGCCCACGCTTCCCCATGCTCCCCCACATGCCCATGGATTTCCCCACGCTTCCCCACGGGCCCACTCGCTTCACCACGCTTCCTGACGGCCCACTACGAGCCCACGCGTTGCCAAACGCCCCCCCGCGGCTCCCCACACGTCCACGCTCTTCCCCACGCTCCCCCCCAGGGGCTCCCCACGAGTCCACGTGTTTTCCCCACGGTTCCCCACGTGTCCATGCGATCCCCCATGCTCCCCCACGGGCTCCCCAGGCCAACGCGTTTCCCGACACTTCCCCGCGCGCCCACGCAAATCCCCCCGCTTCCCCACGGGTCCACGCGCCCTTCCACGGCCCCCACAGTTCGACGCACCCCCCGCGGGTGCCCGCACGCCCACGCGAGATCCCGCCTCCGCGCAGGCCTCGGGGCAGGGCCGAGGGCCTAGGGGGCAGGGCATAGGGTAAGGAGGACCAAGGAGGCCGAGGGTAAGGGCACCCTCACACACCCCACTCCTCTCCTCCTCCTCCTCCTCCTCCTCCTCCTCCTCCTCCTCCTCCTCCTCCTCTCCTCCTGGGGTAAGCCCAAGGGTCGGGCCTATGGTAGGTCCAGGGTTGGCCCATGAGTAAGCCCAGGGGTGGCCCGCCTGGGGGTGGCCCTGGGGTTGGCCCAGGAAGAGGCCCAAGGGTGGGGCCTAGGTAGGCTTGGGGGCAGAACCCTGGGCCTGAGGGTAGGGCCTGGGGTGGGCCTGAGGAAGGCCTTCCCTCGGCGATCCATATGCCACGTTTCCCCACGGGTCCACGCATAAAGAAAGTCGGTATGGCATCGCTGCCTATCTGGCAAGTGGGGAAATGCGTCAGTCTGGCCGGTCATGATCCCAATCTGGCGAGCCTGGCGCTTCCACAGCCTGGCCAATCAGGCGACGCTACCAATATGAAGATAGGTTAAGTGATGCGATCTGTCCCACGCTTACGAAACATATTGCACACGTCAGGGCAGAGGGTCGCAAACCATAAGCAGGAAGGAAGATGGCGGCCAAGACATTCTGCTTAAGAGGTCAGCATCAGATGTGGCTGCGCCAGAGAAGCGCCATATTGGAATGCACAGGAGACGGATGCCAGATTGGCAACCCAACCTGACCGCCCGGCCCTCGGCCACCCTGACAAGCAAACGTACGTACCCACAGGCACACGAACACACTGATGTACACACGTGCGTACACGCATACAGACATACACATGCCTATATCTATATGTATGCGTACGCACAGATAATAAAACAGGGCTAGGATCGGGATAAATCGCTCCAGAGCGTTCCGGAGCGCTCTCAGAGCGTTCCGGAACGCTCTGGAGCGGCCGCGGCGCCCAATACATCCTCCAAACCCGCCGTTCCTCAGAGATTTCGAGTTATCCCGATCCGATGTTGTCCCGATCTTCGCGTCGTCCGATATCAACACACCGTACACGTACACACCCCTTGCTGCGTGCACGTGGCCATGCATGCATAACGCACGCGACGTCGGCGCCACTCCTGGGGCCCCCGGCACCCCGCCGCGATCGGCGCGCTCCCTCCCAGAAGGCGCCGACCGCCGCACCCCCGGCAGGGCGGCACCCAAGGCTTCACCCCCTCCTCCTCCTCCTCCTCCTCCTCCTCCTCCTCCTCCTCCTCCTCCTCCTCCTCCTCCTCCTCCCTCTCCTCCTCTCTTCTCCTCCTCTCTCTCCTCCTCCCTCTCCTCATCCCTCTCCTCCTCCCTCTCCTCCTCCCTCTCCTCCTCCTCCTCCTCCTCCTCCTCCTCCTCCTCCTCCTCCTCCTCCTCCTCCTCCTCCTCCTCCTCCTCCTCCTCCTCCTCCTCCCCGTTCGGCCGCCGGACGGACTCATTGTCGAGCCCCTTCGGCGGCCGAACGGGCTCCACTGCCATGACCCGCTTGGCTGCGCACTCGGCGGCAGCACGGGCTTGGACGCCGACCGGGCTGAGAAGGGAACCCTAGGGTATGGCGGAAGCTGGCCGATGCTTCGGCCGGCGCCCGCGCAGCCTGCACCTGTCCAGGGCCTGCTACGGTGGGCCTGGCCCCCTGGAATCCAGAGGCTCCTCTCTGTCGAGACACTGGAGGCCTCCCATCATATCGGCTACACGCAAAAGTGACCCTGGGTAAGAGTGACCTTTGGTGCGCGGCTTTTTGAGGGCCGCGGGAGGGATCAGACACAAGCGACGATCGGGGGGGCCCCAATGGCCGCACACCAGAGGTCCCTCTGGCGAAGGGTCGCTATTACGTGTGGTCGATCATAGGGCCAGAGCAGACTGGGTCGGAGAATCGCGCCGCCTCGGCCGTGCATCGGCGACGGCGGAATGGAGAGAAGCGGAGGAGGGGGAGGAGGAGGAGGAGGAGGAAGAGGAGGAGGAGGAGGAGGAGGAGGAAGAGGAAGAGGATGAGGAGGAGGAGGAGCAGGAGGAGGGGGAGGAGGAGAAGGAGGAGGAGGAGGAGGAGTGGGAGGAGGAGGAGGCTGAGGAGGAGGAGGAGGAGGGAGCAGGCGGCGGAGGAGGAGGGAGGAGGAGGAGGAGGAGGAGGAGGAGGAGGAGGAACCCTTTGCCTGGAGCCGCCGCCTCAGTAGAACATGCAGCTGGCTCCCTGGCCCGCCCCCTTCAGTACCCACACCTTTCCGCACACTACGCTCCTTGTCCTCCCCTCCCTTCCGATCGAGGGCCAAGGTCTTCAGGTGTTCTTGCCGTTCGCTCGCTCGACGACGACGACGACGACGACGACGACGACGACGACGACGACGACGACGACGACGACGACGGCAACGAGACGGTTGTGAAGACCCCCGGGGGCCCGAGGCTGGCCCTCTGGGGGCTCCAGACATGGCGAGCCGCAAGCCGTCTCGATCTGCTGTCGGGCCGCCGAAGGTCTGGGCCGGTGGTGCACGGGAGGGGTTTGGCGACGCCCACAAGGGGGCAGTTTGTCGGGAGACTCTCCATGGGATCCCCAGGGGGTCCTATGGGATCCCCCCCCTGGGATCCTATCCCCCCATGGGATCCCCCCCCATGAAGAGTCTCCCGAGTTTGGAGAGGTCGGAAAGGGGCGTGGCCTAAAGGGGTATGGTGCCAACCGTGGACATGGCGATGCTGTGGGCGATCAATAGAATCGCCAGGTTCCCCTTCCTTCGCACCCCCCCCCTTATACCATACCCCTCTCCTACCTCCAGAGGCGGGGGGAGGGGGGAAGGCTTCTCAAAAGGAGGCCACTTCTTAGTGGGCGCGGGCCTCACATCGACAGACAGGGCCCGCGCCTTCCAAAAAAGCAGGGGTGCTTGTAAGAAAGAAGCCTTGCCCCCCTCCCCCTACCCGTCCCTGCGCGTGGCCGAGGGTTCGTGCCGCGACGACTCGCGCGCCGGTTTCTGACGTCGCGTGGATCGTTCCGCATTGAACGATCGCCGTTTCCCGATGGCGCGGATCGCTCGTCCTCGGCCGGCTCCGTGCCACCGGCGGCGTGCAACCTTGGCTGCCCGCGGTGGGGGCGCCGCCGCGTCGCAACGGCACGAGCCTGCCGCATGATTGCCAGCCTCCGACCTCGCTGTAGTCTGCGCGCGCGAGGGGCAGGACCAGGGTCTTCGGCTTCTCCGACAGGGTGCCCAGCGGAGGGAGCCAGGCCTCGCCCAGGAAGTCCCGCGAGACCACGTCCGAGTCCCAGACCTCGAGCAGGAAGGACTGCTGGGCGTCGAGGGCGTCCTCCATCATCCTGAGGTCCTCCTCCTGCCGGGATGGGCGCCAACTGACGGGCACGAGCGTTCGACTCTGGCGGCGGGGCCCCTCTGTAGGGCCCAGTGTCTGGCCATGAAAGAAATGAGCCGACATTGTCGGCCCTTATCCTCTTCCTGATCATCATCATCACCATCATCATCATAAGCATAATGATGATAATCATCATCATCATCACCATCATCAGCAGCATCGGTTTCATAATCATCATCGCCAGTATCACAATCACAATCACCATTACCATCATCAGCATCATCGGCATCATGATAAACATAATCATCGTGTTCATCAGCACCATCATCATCACAACCATGATAAGCATCAACTGCATCAGCATCATTACTATGATCATCACCATCATCAGCAACATCAACATTACAATCCTCATCACAATCATCATCAGCAGCATCATGATCATCATCAGCATCATCCTCATTACCACCATCATCGTCAGCATCAGCATCATCCTCATCCTCGTAATCAGCATCATCATCACCACCATCACCATCACAATCATAATCAGCATCGTCACCATTAGCATCATCATCATCATCATCACCATTATCATCACCATGACTCAGAATCATCAACACCACCATCACCAGCGGCAACATCTTCGCCATCAGCATCATCATCATCGCCATCATAAACTCAGCATCAGCATCACCATCATCATCATAATCATGATTTGCATAATCGTCATGGCCGTCCTCATAATCCTTATCATCATTACCACGGCCATCATCATCATCATCGTAGTCATCACCAGCATCCTCATCACCAACATCATCGGCATCACCATTATCATCGAACGCAACATCATCAACACCATCGTAATCATCCTCACCATCAACAACAGCAACACCACCGTCATCATCATCACTATCAGCATCACCATCATCTTGACCATCATCCTAACAATGTGCATCAGCATCGGCATCAGCATCATCATCATCATCATCATCGTCGTCGTCACTGTCATCGTCGTCCTCATCATCATCATCATCATTATCATCATCATCATCATCATCATCATCATTTGCAATATCATCATCCTCATTAGCATCATCATAATCATCGTCGTCATCATAACCATCACGATCATCATAATCACCACCATTATCCTCATCGCCATCGTCATCATCATCAGCATCAGCATCTGCATCGTCATCAGCATCATCATCCGCATCAGCATCATCCTCCTCATCATCAGCAGCATCAGAAGCAGTATAACAATCATCATCAGCAACATCATCATGATGATGATCATCATGATCAGCATCATCACCATGATCAGCATGATCATCATGATCATCATGATCATCATCATCATCATCATCATCATCATCATCATCATCATCATCATCATCATCATCATCATTACCAGCGCCCACGCGCACCGATCCTAGCCAGGCCTAGATCGGGCCCAGGAAAAGTACGCGCGCCCTCCAGGAGGGCGCATGCAACAACACTGGGCCCAGGATTGGATCGGCCATGATCGGCGCAGGCGTGTTGTTGGCGTCCCCTGGTCCTGGTGCGGATCCATGATGGTCACGCTGAGCGGTATCGCCTTGCGCTCGTGCGGCACGTGGTCGCAGGACCCCAGGCGGCGCAGCGACTCGCCCAGGAGGGGGCTGCCCATCACGCACGAGATGAACTCCTCGGGGCCGCGAGATCTGCGCTTCGGTCTGCCTGCCCTCCCCGCCTTCCTCCACTCCACCCTGCACTTCTCCACTCACCCAGCCTCCCTCCCCCCCCTCCCACCGCACCCCGCCCCCTCCCCCAGCCGCCTACCTCCCTCTTCTCTCGGAGGCTGGAACATCGCCCGACTCCCCTCCTCCGTCCTCCCCTCCCTCGAGGAGCAGAATATACCGATGCTGCTTCCCCCCCAATGACCTCTCCCGGAGCGCGCTCCGGCCAGGACTCCGAGGCGAAGCCAGCCGTGGCGAGCAGGCCCCCCCCCGGGAGCCCCGAGAGGGTGCGAAGGCGAGGGAGGGGCGCCGGTGTTGGCACGCCTCCCTCCTCCGACTCCCTTCCCCGCGCTCCTCCCCATCCACCCTCCACCCTCCAGGGCAGTTCTTTTTAAAACATAGGATTTAAAACATATATGAGATTCTACTACATGGTTAATGTATGAATCAATGTTTGCATGAACTCATCGTTGTTTTTAATACTAGATCCCTGCTTTTTTCATGCGTGATCCGCACGCGGAGCATGTATGAAAAACGGCACTGTCCACCCACCGCCGCCCGATCGCGCCGAGCGGCTCAAAAGCGCGCGGAGGCGCAGGAGGGGCCCGCGGAGGGGCGTGTGGGGGCACGTCGGCACGGAGGAAAGGCGCGGCCGGCCTGCTGTCGCACGGGCTGGGCAGCGGGGCCGGGCAGCCCAGGCCCAGGGCTCCATCCTTTGAGCAGGGACCGACCGTCCCGGCATTCCTATAGTCCTACCACGAAATGTTCTTAGAACCCAAAAATGATCTAAGAACAGAAACAATGTTCTTAGAAAATAAACCCGATGTGATAAAACAAGACAGACTCCGCCAGAAATGTTCTAAGACCACTTCGTGGGAACCACAAAAAGTTCTTATAACATTGTTTGGTGGTGCTATAGGCGAGCCGGGACGCTTCGCCACTGCTTGAATCCTGAGCATCGTTCCACCGACCCCATATCTCCCCATGGCAGTGGCCCGGGTCCCACTGGCCGATGCTAGAAGGGCCCCACTGGCCGTTCCGAGGGGTACAGCCCCCCCACTGGGGCAGCGAGATGGTGGGGGCCTGGGTGGGGGATGGGGATGGGGGATCGGGGTGTGGGGTCGGTTCCATGGTACTGACGCTCGGCGTCTGAGCCCCGTTCGGCCGCCGGACGGGCTCAGACCGAGCCCCTTCGGCGGCCCAGCGGGCTCGGTGGCCACACGCCGCGTCGGGACCTACAGCCCGTGCGGCTGCCCGCTCGGCGGCCCGGCGAGCTCAGATGCCGAACGGGCTCGGGAGGAGGAGGAGGAGGAGGGGGAGGAGGATTGGGAAAAAACTGGTCCTGAGGCTGGACCCTGCAGGTTGCAGGTCCAGCCTCAGGACCAGCCTCAGGTCCGGCTCTTCACCCCTGCCCTTTGTCTGACGGTGCAATCAAAACTAATGGCAAGGATGCGTGATAAGAATGCAAGCCCCTTGGAAGCACTGTCGAAGCTTTTGGAGCGGGGCTGGCAATCGGAAGGGGCTGAGGATGGACCAAGGGGGCAAGGACGCAAGGGTACCATTGGGAAGGTTACCCATCTTACCATCGGTTTCGACTGTGAAGGCCTCCCTGATGGGGCCAGAACAAAGAGGGTCAGAGGCTCGCGCCGCATCGTCGATGCATCACCGATGCATCGGCGATGCATCGGCAACTTTGGCAAATTATCGGCGACATCGGCGCAGAGAAAATCGGGCTCCACTTCGATTCGCATCGCCGCTGCATCGGCGATGCGGCGCGAGCCTCCGACCCCATCTCCTCCGACCCCATCCGGGAGGCCCAGAGACAGTCCCAGGATCCCGTGGAGGGACCCGAGAGCCCGAAAGCTGCGAAAAACTTCAGGGCACGATTCCCTCAAAAACCGCTTCCTTCCCTGCGAACCCTAGGGCACCATGGCAGGGATCGGCTCCGCGCAAGAGTGACCCCAGGCAAAGAGTGACCTTTGGTGCATGGCTTTCGGGGGGCGCGGGGAGGCCAAGTGGGAGCGCGCAAGCCGCTGCTGCCGCGCCCCATTCGGCCATCTGGGGACCCCAGGCGTGCCCGCACCAGAGGCCGCTCCGGAGAAAGGTCACTGCAATACGTGTAGCAGAACCCTGGGGCAGCACAGGCAGGGACGGCGGCGCCTCGCCGCGGCGGCGCCTCCTCGCGTGGGCCCCCCCGAGGCTCCCCTCCTTCGAGACCCACCCGGGCGCGGACTGAGGGGGCGCAGGCTGGCCAAAGCCACGCGCGCAGGCCGCCGCTGGAGCATCGCGCTCCGCGCTCGGCGGGGACGGCCTCGCGCCTCGCCGCGGCGGCGCCTCGCCGCGGCGGCGCCCCCTCGCGGGGCCTCCCTCCTCCTCCTCCTCCTCCTCCTCCTCCTCCTCCTCCTCCTCCTCCTCCTCCTCCTCCTCCCCAAGAGGCTCCTCCTTCGAGACCCACCCGGGCGCGGAGAGCTCGATCTCGGGGTCGGCCCGCTCCTCGCCGTGGTTGGGCACGATGTTGCCTGCCGGGGGCGCGGCCGGGGCCCTCCGGCCGGGGCCACCCGGCCTCGCGCCGCGGCGGCGCGGTGCCGCGCGGCTCGTCCTCGGGCCCTCGGCAGAAGGCGGGACATCCCTTGGCGGCGCGCAGAGGGGACTTCTTCTGCTTCTCTCACATCCACGTCAGGACCGCGCCCTTCTGCGCGCTGGCCGAATTCCCCCCCCCCATACGAACCACCCCCACAGGCGAGGCCAGTCAGCGAGCGCACCCGGAGGAGGAAGCGAACGGGGCAGGGCTGCTGTTTCAGTAGAACGCCCGGGGCCGTTTGGCAGACGCCAGTTGTCGGGTCTGGGGGTAGTTTTCCCTCCCTTGGCTCGGGCGGCCACCCTCGAGAGAAGGTCAGCCCTCCGGCACGGACGGGAGTCCCCCCGGCCTCAGACGGTCACCTGCAGAGAAGGAGTCCACGGGGCGTCTCTCCTTCTTCTGGCCATCGCTCGGACGTCCATGCAATGTGCATGTTTCGACGACGTGCGCGCATGCGTTCGCAAGATGGCCCAAAATTTGTCCTCGATGGTCCTCGCCGAGAAACATGCACACGTCCGAGCGATGCCAAGTCTTTCGCTTCCGGCGCCATCTTTGGGAGGAGGAGACTAAGGAGGAGGAGGAGGAGGAGGAGGAGGAGGAGGAGGAGGAGGAGAAGGAGGAGGAGGAAAGCTGATGGCAGGGCAGCGCAAGGAGCCCCTGCAGTGCCGAAGGCAGAAAACTGCCACGGCCCTGGACTCAGAGCTGAGGAGGAGGAGGAGGAGGACGAGTAAGAGGAGGAGGAGGGCGAAGAGGAGGACGAGTCTGCGGGAAGTCGGGCTGGAGGGGGAGGACGGGAACTAGGAGGACGGCAAAGAGGAGAACGAGTCTGCGGGGAGTCGTCGTCGTCGTCGTCGTCGTCGCCGTCGTCGTCGTCGTCGTCGTTGTGGGGAGGTCGGCCCTCCAGCCCCAGGCGACGAGGCAACGAAGCGCGACGAGCCTCTGCAGTGCCGAAGGCAAACAAAACCTGCAATGGTCTTGGACTCGGAACCCGGGTGGAGGGGGGCACGAGGAGGAGGAGGAGGAGGAGGAGGAGGAGGAGGAGGAGGAGGACTACGAAGAGGAGGAGGAGGAGGGAGGAGGAGGAGGAGGAGGAGGAGGAGGAGGACTACGAAGAGGAGGAGGAGGAGGAGGAGGAGGAGGAGGAGGAGGAGGAGGAGGACGAGGACGAGGAGCAGGACGAGGACGAGGAGCGGGGCGAGGAGGAGGGCGGAGAGGAGGACGAGTCCGCTGGCAGTCCACAGCCGGAGAGGAGGTCGGCTCTCCGGCCCAGGACGGCGAGGCCAGAGGCGCAGCCGCGCGGCGCGCTGCCGAGAGCACTTCCGGCGAAAGGTCCCTACCATACGTGTAGCCGAACCCTGGGGCAGCACAGGCAGGGGGCGCGGGGAGGCCAAGTGGGAGCGCGCAAGCCGCTGCTGCCGCGCCCCATTCGGCCATCTGGGGACCCCAGGCGTGCCCGCACCAGAGGCCGCTCCGGCGAAAGGTCACTGCAGTACGTGTAGCCGAACCCTGGGGCAGCACGGGCAGGGGCGGCGGCGCCTCGCCGCGGCGGCGCCTCCTCGCGTGGGCCCCCCGAGGCTCCCCTCCTTCGCGACCCACCCGGGCGCGGACTGAGGGGGCGCAGGGTGGCCAAAGCCACGCGCGCAAGCCGCCGCCGGAGCATCGCGCTCCGCACCCGGGGGGACCCCGATGAGCCCACGCAGAAGGTCGCTCCGGCGAAAGGTCACTCTTACGTGCAGCCGACGATTGCCCTTGCAGGTCAGACAGGCCACCACGTGCGAGCCCCGCGCTTGCAGGTGAGACTTCTGCAGAACGCGGCCGGGCCTCGGAGTTTGAAGGATGCCTACGGCTGGGTGAACCCCAGCGGGGGTGTCCGATACCCCAACGTCGATCGGACCCGTAGGGGTAGGGTTCGCAGGTGGTCGCAGATCAGATTTCTGAAACACCTGCTAAGGCTCAGAATTCGAGGGATGCCTGCAACCAAGTGAACTCTAGCGGGGGTCTCCGATACCCCAGGGTCCACTGCACCCGCAGGGGTAGGTTTCACACGTGGTCGCAGAAAGGGGAGCTTTGCGAGCGAGCGGCTGCGTTCCACAAAGCAGGGCGGCGCCAGGGCTCACACAGAGCAAGAGGAGGAGAAGGAGGATGAGAAGGGAGGAGGAGAAAGAGGAGGAAGGAGGAGAAGGAGGAAAGATGAGGAGAGATGCGGAAGAAAGAGTAGGAATATGAGCAGGTGTAGGAGCAAGAGTAGGAGTCGGAATCGAGTGAGCCCGGTCGAGCGAGTCAGAAGGCCCCGCGTACTCCCACCCTCCCTCCCTCCAACAACATAAAAATCAATTGGGGCACATTTTTAGATTGGGATTGGAACGCGCTCCCATCTCGCAAAGGGGAGGACATCGCCGGCGGTCCCGCCTCCAGCGACTTGGCGAAGAGAAAACTACGAGGGCCGCTCAGGGGTGGGAGCGGCAAAACTTCCGATGGGCGTGGCGAAGACGATGCATGCGCGGCGCTGACACAGCGCCGCCGCTTTCACTCACAGGCTGCGCGGCATTTTGGGCGAGGCCGTCCTCTCGCCCGCCCCCGCGCGGCCCTCCTGCCGGCTTCCGCGCGACTCGGCAGACGAGCCATAGGCCGCGCCCGCGACGGCACGCCACCTCCGAGCAAACTGCGCACCGAGCTGGGGCGAGGGCCACAGGCCTCGCCCGCTCCCGCGCGGCCCCGCGGCCGCTTCCGTGCGACTCGGCAGACGAGCCAGGGGCCGCGCCCGCCGTGGAGCGCCCCTCCCGGGCAAAAAACAAAAATGCGCACGGAGCCTGGGCGCGGGCCACATGGTCGCCCGCCCGCGCGCGGGCCCCCCCCCCCCGGAGTGTGGGCGAGCGGCGCGGGCGCGCCGCGCCGCGGCGGGAGGCCCCACCTGCCGGCGACGTCTGCGCGGCGCCGCAGCAAGGACTAACAGGTTCGTCCGCGCGCGCGTCGGCGTGCGGCGCGCCGGAGCGGGAGCCGACGTTCCCGAGGGAACAGGAGCGCGACGCCGAGGCGAGAGCGGCGTGTCGGCTTTCCGCGCGGGCTGTGTGCCCCGTCCCACTCCCTCCACATATGTTGAAGGGGCCCCAGGACACACAAATAAATACACACAAATAAATATATTCCCCTTATTTTCATATATTTTCTGGGCTTTTGTCTTCCCCCCCACTTCCCATAGTTTCCCATATTTTCTGGGGAATCGACGATTAATTGTGTCTGTGTGTTTCTTTCTCTCCTGATATTCTGCAGCGTCGACGACAGGAGTTGGAGGAGGACGACCGAATCTCACCGCCCCTGCGGGTTCTGCTGCCCCTGGGCGCGAGCAGGGATACCACGGTTCGCGCGCCGCCCACAGTAGGGGAGGGACGAGGGACGAGAGGGAGAGGGGGCAAATTGCCATGAGGGAGACGAGTCCTGACGGAAACGGACTCCAGACGCCGGGTTCTTCTGCTGCAGGGGACCCGGCCATTCTTCATCCTGAGCGGTTGGTTGTTAACAGACGGCCCTGGAACACGGGAAGGGCCCCCAAGACCCGAGAACGGCAAAGCAACCCGTGTCCCCCAGGACCCGCTTGCGCCGTGGTGGGCTGACCCTGAGATCCGACTTTGCACGACAGCAAACAACATCGTGAGAAATGACGGCCCGGGCCCGGGACCCCACTTTCGGTTGCGCTCTTCCGAGCCGGGTAGATCTGTGATGGTCCTGGGGCCCGCAACCAGACAAACGCGCCCGTTGTGGAACAAAAGTGCGACGCCAGGAACTCAAGGGAGCCTCGTACTCGCAAGAGTGACCCTAAGCAAGCGTGACCTTTGGTGCACGGACTACGGGGGTGCAAGATGTCCAAATCCAAGCCCGCACAAAAAGTCGCTCCGGCGAAACGTCACTCTTACGTGCAGCCGATGATTGCCCTTGCAGGTCAGACAGGCCACCACGTGCGAGCCCCGCGCTTACAGGTGAGACTTCTGCAGAACGCGGCTGGGCCTCGGAGTTTGAAGGATGTCTACGTCTGGGTGAATCCAGCGGGGGTGTCCGATACCCCAACGTCGATCGGACCCGTAGGGGTAGGGTTCGCAGGTGGTCGCAGATCTGATTTCTGAAACACCTGCTACGGCTCAGAATTCGAGGGATGTCTGCAACCAAGTCAACTCCAGCGGGGGTCTCCGATACCCCAAGGCCCCCTGCACCCGCGGGGGTAGGGCCCACTGCACCCGCAAAGGATGAGCCCGCACCAAAAAGGTCGCTCCGGCGAAGGGTTCCTCTTGCGTGTGGTCGAGGGTCCGAGTCTCGCTGCCCCCTGCTGGGCTCCGCTGCCCCCCGGGGTGCCGTTGGGCTCCACGGAGACGACCGCGGTGCACCGCTCGCCGTCGCCGCCGCGCACGAAGCGAATCCAAAGCTCCTGCGGGCCGCGGGGGGACGCCCTGGCTCCTCCTTCTCCTCCTTTTCCTCCCCCTTCTCCTCCTCCTCCTCCTCCTCCCCTTCTCCTCCTCCTCTCCTCCTCCTCCTCCTCCTCCCTCCTCCTCCCTTCCTCCTCCTCCCTCCTCCTCCTCCTCCTCCTCCTCCTCCGCCTCCTCCTCCTCCATTATTTTCCTCCTCCATCCTTTTCCTTATAAATAACTCATCCCTGTCGCACCCCCAGACGTGTGGGTAGGGCGGGCCTGGCGTTTCGCTCAAGATTTCCTCACCAATTATGGCTCTGCAAATTCAAATTTGCTCTCAAGAACGGACAGCGGGTGATTTTCAAAATGTGGCGCTCGCCTTAGCGCCGCACACATTCAGCATGCAACCCTGCAGCAGTTTCAAGGATGGCGGGGGATGGTTTTCAAAATGTTGCTCTCGCGCTAGTGTCGCGCATATTCGCCTGAAAAGTTTGCAGCAGCTTCAGGATGGAAGGGGTGGCAATTTTCAAATGGGACTCTCGCCTAAGCGCCGCGTGCATTCGTCTTAATAACTTGCAACATGGTCAGGGATGAACTCGCCTTAGCGCACCGCACCTTCATCTTAAACATGTCAAACAGCTTCAAGGATGGAAAACAGTTCCTTGTAAAGGTTGAATTCTCGCCTTCGCGCCGGAACATGTTGCAAGATCTCGCAGCAGAAAGCACCAGAAGCGGAGCCCTCGCCAAAATGGCTCGCCGAACAGCTGTGCTCATCTTTCAAGGCGGGCGCTCAGCATCACTCATGCATACTTGATCTACTCTGGCCCTCCTCCCTCCCTCCAGCTCGCCCGCGTCGCGCGAACCTGGCCTCGATGGGAGCAGGCAGCCGAGGGGCAGGCGTCGTCGGGGCCCTAATCGGAGGACGTCAGCTGGACATCACCGATCCTGGCCGAGCCGATCCTGGGCCGGAGTCAATGTCCACGCCTCCCCGGCTGGACCCGGGATGAGCCGGGCCAGGATCGGTGAGGAGGAGGAGGAGGAGGAGGAGGAGGAGGAGGAGGAGGAGGAGGAGGAGGGGGAGGAGGGGGAGGAGGAGGAGGAGGAGGAGGAGGAGGAGGAGGAGGAGGAGGAGGGGGGAGGAGGGGGGAGGAGGAGGAGGCTGTCCCCCGAGCGCAGGGGGGGGGCAGGCGGGAGAGGGAGCGACGTTGGCGGGGGGGCAGGAGGAGGGGAGCGCCGCCCCTCCCGGCTCCTTCCGCTTCCCTGGGAAGGGGTCCCGGATCTGCATGTCGTGGCTGATGTTGATGGGCTCCATGGTGCGCCGCATGAACATCTGGCGAGAGAACAAGTTGAGGCTGCCGCCACTGTCCTCAGGGCAACGCATGATGGGCACAATTTCCACAACCGCTACCATGGGTAGGCCAGGGGAGAAGACAGGATGGGGAGGTCCTCCTCCTCAGACTCCTCCTCCTCCTCCTCCTCCTCCTCCTCCTCTTCCTCCTCCTCTTCCTCCTCCTCCTCCTCCTCCTCTTCCTCCTCCCTCTCCTACATGTGGTAGCGGTGGTGGAAGATCGGCCCATCAACGCACACTGTGCGCCAGCACCAGACGTGGGAGGGCCCCGCCTCGCTTCGGATCGGCACATCCCGCACCCTCCTGGTCATGCGGGGAGGGCATACCGGAGGGTGGGCGCAAGGAAGGCTTCCGTGAGGCCGCCTCCACCGAGGAAAACAGACAAATCGTGTCACCTAACTCGCGCGGCTTGCACGCGAAGCCGCACGAGAACGTCATGGCTGCCGGTGCTCGTGCTGATGCACGTTCTTCCTGCTGCTTACGTTGCTCCTCCCGTCTGGCGGCGTTCCCTGGTGTCACGTTGTTGTCCCGCCGTGGTGTCCTCAAGGTGTCCCGGCGATGTCCCGACTGTGCTCCGATAGTGCTTAAGTTACATGTAACTTGTGTCTTGACGTCCCGCGATGGTATCCCGATTGGATTTCAGTGGTGTCCTCATGACGCCCGGGTAGATGATCGAGTGCGTTCAATTGTTTTCGGGGTGTTTCGACGGTGGCCCGATTACTTTCTTCGTATGTCCCGGAAGAGGGTCCACGGTCAAAACTGTGCCGACCATGCCACGCAATTGATGTCTGGATGGTGCCTTTGGAGTAATGCCAAAGGTAAGGTGAAACTCGAAGCTGGAAATTTAAGCAACACATTAAAACCGAAAGCTAACCGCCACAAAGAAAAAACGTCAGCTGGAAGTTGCAGGCTGCATCGAGCACCGAAGCTGGCGCTGAAATTAACGTGAAGGATGATACACACACAGCAATGAAAAAGCTGCATTGTAAATATCCAGCTGTCTGTGTGCTACGCCGTGGCGCCTGTTGCGGCGCCGCCAAAGCTCAACAAAGATTCAACCATGATGTCCCACGGTTTCCGCGGCGCCCAAATCTGCTCCACTGGTGTCCGGCGCAGCTGCGAGCCCGAAGCCCAAGTCTAAGCTCTAGCTACACCTGAAGAGTTCATTCAACGCCAAGGCTGGAAATTCTGCCATTTTGGCTTGTGATGCCCCCTTGTGCCAGGTTGTGATGTCTGGCGTCGGCAAGGCAAACATTTAAGCGAGACGTACGACTAAGACCTACATGTGAACAGCGCGATCCAAACCATGACATGTCTTTGTCTGGAAGGCTTGCGTGGGCATCGCATTGCAATCAGATGCAACGCAATATAGCGCATCGCACAATGCAGCATAAAACGGCAGACCTGGGCAACGTCAAGCACATCATGGAACGGCACAGCCCTGGATCGGATAGCACATGAATATCACACCGTAGTTCTATAAACAAGTGCATGCCACAGCGCAACACCGCAAAGCAATACCTAAGAACGTCACCAGCGCATCATTGCATCGCGATGTCACAACACATCATGGTAGCAGAGCATCGCCCAGCACAGCATGGCCTCAACGTTACACGACCACAGCAATTGTACAGCAAAGCGCGGCACATATCCAGGATACGGCAGCAATCCACAGCGCATCTCCGTCCGCATTGGACAGTCTCACGCGTGTGCATAACATCCAAAAGCATGTCATAAGCAGGAATGTGAGCATGATCTTGAACTATAACATAGCAAGGCCCATAACGCCAACGACATGGCATGGCATATCTCATAGCTTAGCCCATACCGGGTGTGAGGAACCGACGCGAATCACGAGAAACCCTCCAACGACTCACTAATACTTACGTGCAGTATTTGATGTTTGTCCAGCAGACTTGGGCAAAGCTAGCTGGGAAGTGGGACGGCTCACTACTACTGCTATCGAGAGAAAGCTGTCATCATAGCTACGCACGCTCATAATAGCATGAAGAGTAAACTTCAACGAGCAAATATATTCCAACATGTCATGCGACATCGATGGCGACAATACTCCAATGCAGTATAGGAGTGCACGTTAGCTACAAGCTGAAACAGATGACTGACTGTTATCGTACCAAGGTCACGCTGGCAGTGCAGCCAAAGCCAATGTGCACTGCTACATACAACAACAAACAAACATCCAGTCGCAAGATTAAACATACTATGTTTCTAATGTGTCCCTTGGGTCCCGCTGCGCGCAGAGTCTAGTGACGTCCTAGTGTGGCGCCTGGTGCCGCGCAAGCGAAAGCTGCAGCGAAAACAAACCTGGAAGCTGCAGCAACAGCATGACATCCTCTCAAACCAGAGAGGCGACACAACAAACAACTGAACCAGTCGACCCCGATATCGTCAAGTGTGCATCTCAGCTCCTGGCGCTTCCCGCTGGGAGCGTCTGGGCGAGGGAGTCTTAGCCTGTGACTGTGCGCTCCCTAGCGGCTCCCCCTTGGAGCGCCCTACAAGCCTCGTCAAAAATAAACAGAAGACTTCTGAATTCGGTGATTGTGGGGTGAGCGATACTCCAATGCTGACGGATGCCTGTTGACTCGGACGCGGCGTTGTCCAAAAATCGGCACCACCCTCTCAGCATTGAAGAACGCGCTTTCTGACAATTGCCCGAAAGCATCTTGCTCCAAGATTTCAACTTCCATTTCTGGATATTTCTGACGAGGCTTGTAGTGCTATGCCTGCTACATCGGGCTGACCCAGGGGCAGCGCTTCGCTCGAGACGTGCCCACAATCTGGCCGTGAGCAGGCAAGTGTAGCAACCCATTGACGACTCACCCCTTGGGGTGCCCACGCGTCATGCCTGCTGTGTCGCAGTGATGCTAGAGCCCTGAAAGGAGATGAGCGGAAGGGGCAGCGGAAGGTGCAACACGAGCACCTCGCCCATGAGGCACGAACGCAAGATCAGGTTACTGGGAGGTAGGGAGCAACGTGGCTAAACTGTGCACGCGTTGGGACATCTAAGGCAAAACCCGCAAGCTCAACCGCATGTGGGTTATCTCCTGTGGTGCCCCGCTGTGGTGTCTCGACCGATAAGGCTAACGCTTCCGCCATCGTTTCCAGCGGTACCCACTTGTGCGCCCAGGTGTGCAGCTGTCCAGCCTCGCGCTTCTAACGTTATAGCCAAAAAAGCTAGAGACAAAACAAAAAACAAAAAAACTAAAGTTGGGTGCAGCGCTGAAGCCGAGTAGGTCAAACCAAGGCCTGTCCCAGTCGAAGCAACACCTTCACCACACATCTATACGGTGGAGCATTGGATAAGGACCCCTTGGGTAAAGAATCCAGGGTCTGGAGGTCGGTGAAACTCCAATTGAGGCTTGGCCATGGATATCACCGCCACCCACATCAAATGAGGAATCCTCCAGGGTCTGCAGCCTCCTGGGCACATGCCTTAATCAACGCCACCACCGTAATAACAACACGTAGGATTTGGCGTAAAGGAAAAAGGGTCCTGAGGAAAACGGGTCCTGGACTCCAGAACTTCCCCCAGAATCGTTTTCTCGCAACCGTGGGGCCCCAGAAAGGCCCTGTGAGATCGAAAGCGGCAACAACAACTTCGGACCCTTTTCCCTTGGGAACCCTCCACATACATCCGACGATGCGCGCTTGTTCAATCAACGGCCCCAGAACTCCGGACCCCTTCCCCAGGAGCAGTCGTGCCATCCAGACGCATGGACCCGAAAGCTGTCCCAAGAGAACGACAAGTGGGGAAAAAAACACCGGAATGAAAAGATATATTCTGTCCGGGGTCTGGTTTTCTTCACATCAGGCAAGGCGGCTCCGCCGACGGCGACGACGACGATCTCGGCGCCGACCCCGACGTCGGCAACGACGTCGCAGACGACCTCGACGTCGTCCCCGACTTCGACGTCGACGTCGACGTCGACGCCTCGACGACGCCGCCGCCGACGACGATGAGGACCAGAAACGACGCCGATGCCTCCTCATTGCCTCGTCGGCACAAGCTGCTCCACGAATCACAAGGCGAGCCGACCCCAGCCCTGGCCTGAGCCAGCGCGGACGTCGTGTGGCGGCCCCAGGGGCGTCAAGAAACTGCCCAGAATGAAAAACCTGTCCCAGGGCCAGGGCCTCATGGCGAGGCCTCCAGGGGCCAGGGCCTCGGGTAGAAGCGAGCCGTTAGAGGTCTGGGTCTGGGTATGTGGCCTTACCCCATGTCCTTGACCTGTCGCTCGTGCTCCAGCATCACCTCCCGAGTAACGACCTTGTAACTCTGCTTGCTCTTCTCGAGACGCTTCTTCAGGTCACTCAAGCTGGCGGGGGCGTCGCTGTCTTTGGAAGGCTCCCCCGGCACAATGATGGCCTCCAGGAAGCCGGGGACAGCGCCGGAGCGATTGAAGATGCTGTCGGCAATCAGCAGCGCCTCGCGGTTCGTGAGGTTCAGCACGCACCTGTGCAGGATGCACTGCGTGATCAGGCGGACGCCTTCCAGGCTGACGCAGTTCTTGCGCTTGGAAACAGTGACAAACTCTGGCATAACATCGATATCAGCCGAACGCTGGTTGCCACACAGGTCGTTCCACTGCCACTCCATCGTGTCAGGGTCGTAGCCCATGTGCTGCCCACCCCGCCAATGGTGGCTGAAGCTGTCGTGGTGGCCCAAAATGCCAGACAACACATTCTCCTTCATCGTCTTGTCCCACTCCATGATGCCGCCGTAGGGCCCGTAGGTCAAGTAGGACTGGTGCTGGTCGGTTTTCCATAAGCCCCGCGGGTCCCACCTCGGAATCTCCTTCCACACGCGCTCGTCTTCAGCTGCTCCGGCCTCCCTCTGCAAGCCCAATATGCGCGCCACGATCCAGGGGTTCATTTTGTAGTAGTCGCCGACGAGCATCTGGTTGAACTTGATGTGCTTAACCACGATATTCAATTGCCCATGCTCCGGTCTCCGGATACTCTTTGGTATCCATACCACGCTAACGAGCATCTCCCCGAGTATTTCCATTCCGTTGTCGCTTCCTGGCGCGTTGGAAGCGGGCATGTTAGACGCGCTTGCACGCGCGGCGCGAGCGTTGTTGCCACGGCCTGCTTTCGCTGTCAGCGCGGGGTCGTGCTTGCCCCAGATGTTGTAGCTTACGAACTGCGGCTCGTCCAGAGCTGATCCAATGAATGGTGTAAGCGACTGTATGTAGACAACGCCCAGGAGGTGTGTCTTCGGGTGGTTGCTCATAACCTGCAGGCAAAGGCAATTCTGGTGGGCTTCCGAACTGTCGAGGTCTGCAGGTGGTGCCCTCGGCAGCTCCACCTGGCGCAAGGGGCCACAATTTCGGCCCATATCCTCCGCAATTGCTCTCTCTCTCTCTCTCCCTCTCTCTCTCTCTCTCTCTCCCTTTGATCGGGGGGCGGGGGAGGTCCCCAGGGGGGTCCCGGGTCAGAATGCCATCATCCCCTGGGGGGGCCCGAATCGCCGAACGAGCGATCCAAGACGTCAAAGATGGTCTCCTCACAGCCCAAGCGGCCGCCAAGACGCTCGAAGAGGCCTCCAAGACAACACCAAGACAGCCCCAACAGGCAAACATTAGGTTTATGAAGCATTCTGGCGTTCTCGTCTTTTCGCCTTCCCGACGCGCCAAAACGACCCAAGATACCACCAAGATCGGCACAAGAGGCCCCCAGGAGGTTTCCAAAACGGCCCCAAACCGGCCCATGACGGCCCCAAGACAGCCCTAGAAGCCTCCCAAACGGCCCCAGCGGCCCCCTAAACGGCTCCAAAGGGTTGCCCACACGGGAGCCCGAGCGAACATTTCGAACCCTCGGCCCCGAGAAGCTCCCAGGAGGCCCTACGAGACCCCCAAGACGCCCACAGTCCCCAGGAAGCCCGAAGAGACCCCCTAAAAGGTTCCCAAGAGACCCCCGAGATGCTCCCAAGATGCCCCCAAAACTGCCCCCCAGAGGCCCATACGAGCGCGCTGCGACCCACAAAACATCCCTGAGGACTCTGCCCCACGTCAGCGTCGTCGTCGCCGCCGACGTTGCGTTGTCGTCGTCGTTTTCGGGCTCCCGACGCTCCATTGGAAAATCACGTCGGCCAACTGGTGTGAAGGCTTTGGCACATCATACAGAAATCTAACAGAAAAGCCTTGCGGCACTCTGGCGACAGGTCAATCCTATCCGCGCAACCGAGGGGCGCCGATTCATAGTATTGGTGCTCGCTGAAGCCCTACACGCCACCACGCTGGTCCCGGGCAAGCTGCGCTGCCCGGCGGAAGGGGACGAGGAGGGGAGAAGCAGGCAAACGACGACGAACGCGCGGGCGGGCGACCAGGGCCGGCGGGGCGGGCGGGCAGGCGGAAGAGGGGCCAGGCGGAGACAGCAGGCAGGGAGCAGGAGGAAGAGCAAGGGGGGGAAGCAAGGAAGAGAAGGAAAGGGGAAGCAACCGCAAGCAGACTGGCGGGGCCATCGGCAGGGAGAGAAGGGCCTCCCGCGACAAGGCTACGTAACCCGCGGCGGCGGCGCCGACCAGGCGGCGCAGGCGTAGCGGTGGAGTGGGCGGCGGGCGTCGGGGGGGGGCGTTGGCGGTCGTCTGGAAGGGCCGTCGGGTCGTCTGGGGGCGGCAGCGCAGGAGTGGCTGGCGGTCGTCGGGTTCGTCGTCGGGTTCGCCGTGCTGGAATGAAGCTTGGCGAAGGGCTGGGCGCGGGGCAGGGCACGGGGCTGGGCGTCGGGAAAGCGTCGGGGAGGGCGCGGGGTGCCTGGCCGAGCCCAACACGCTGCGGCTTGGCGGGGATTGCCCTCTGCGGGATCCATCCGCCGCCCCGCCGAGGAAGGGGCGAGGAAGGGGCGGCCGGCGGAGGGGGGCGCGGCGTCCACCGCGGAGGCCGCCGTGGCCGCGGCCAAACGGGCCGCGGCCACCCCCGCCCCTTCAGACTGCGTTTGGAGGCACCGCAACAGCGCCCGCACGTTTTCCCTACGCAGGGACATCGAGAGTCGCAGGACGTGTCGGTCCGCTACCACAACGGCGTCTTCCCCTGCGTGGGCCACCCGCGTGGCCAGGACTCCGAAAGCCCTGCGAGCCTCGCGGCCCCACCCGCCGCCGTGGGCTTCCACCGCCATGGGGAGGAAGGTGAAGCCCTGCGCCGCGCACTGCCGCGCGGTGTCCTGGTGCTGCCTTTTGAACCCTCGTACCGCTCCGTCGGCGCATTTGACCAAGCGGCCGAAGCGACCAGGAGATCGGCGCGCATCCCAGACGCGGCTGCAAAGTCCCAAGCCGCCGCCGCGCCGTTGCGCCACCGGGGCAGGTAGACGTCGGCGGGCCGGCGGGACCCGTCCTGCTCACCTCTAGGGGTGGCCTCCCCGGCGGGGCGCGGGGGTAATTAGCAGCCCCGGGCGCTCCAACTCCGCCCCGGCGTGGCCAGCGGCCAGGGCGTCGAAGAAGGCCCGGTTGCGCAGGGCGTCGTGGCGCTTGGTCTGGTCGCCGCGGCAGGCGCAAACCAGGGCGTGGTCGCAGAAAACGTCCATCACCTCGCCACGCGCTGGGCAAAAAAACGCCCTCGTCCAGAAGCTGGACTCGCAGCCGCCTCTGGAGGGCACACTGCATGCGGCCGTGCGGGAAGGCGGTGCCAGTGGCCTCGCAGGGCGGCGTCTGGAGCCACGCGTCAGCGCATGGGGCCTGCACCAGGGAGAGGTGCGCCTTGCCGGCCAGGGTGGAGTCGGCCACGAGCCCGTCGAGCGCGGCGACGTCCGCCGCGTCGGGCAGGGGCTTCTGATCGCGTGCCGCTCGTGGTCAAACAACGCCCAGTCGGCGTCCCGCACAACTGCGTTGCGGGCCCACACCGCAGCCGCCAGGCTACCCCCGTCGCGGTCGTTGGAGCAGCCAGGGTAGAGCTGACAGAAGAGGTCGGTGCTCTTCGCTCGGGAAGCAATGTAGGCGGCGGCTGCGGCGGCGTGCTTCGCGGCGGAACGCAGGACGGGCCCTCCTTTGTTGAGCTTGAGCTGGGCCTGCCGTCAGGAGGCGTCGGTGGGCGAGCAGCCGCTCAGTTGCTCCAGGCAGACCCGGACGGCGTCGTCCATGGCCAACAAAGAAGCGGTGTGCGCGGTGGGCGGCACCACCCGCGCTGAATAGCCTAGCTTGCAGGAGGATGCGAACTGTCGCAGCAGATGCAGCGCGACTCGTGCGTTTTCGAGCACCCCCAAAGCTTCCGGCAGCACGGTGGTGCTCGCGACCCGTTGCTTCGTGTGCTCCACGCAGAAGTCCGCGCCCCCCAACTGGCGCGCCGAGTGGCTCGACGCTGCGGTCGCAGCGGAGGCGGATGCCTGGCGGGAAACCGTGCAGCGAGACGTCGGAGGCGTCCCCACCGGCGGGGACCACCTCGCACTTGCCCGGGCCGGTGCCCAGCTGGAGGCCCACCTCGGCGAGGCGGGCCACGAGCATGCGGAGGCGGCGCGCCACGGCGGGCGCGTCGCCGGCGAGGCAGCCGCCGCCCGAGCAGAGAAGGCTCAGATCGACGGCGCCGTCGGCGCCGTGGCGCGGCGCGCGGAGGGCGGCCGCGGCGGCCCGCTGGAGAGCAGGGGGGGAAGAGCAGAGGCCCCCACGGGGGGTCACCCTGCGGCACCCCGCTCTCCGAGAGGACAGTCTGCTTAAGCCCAGGAAGAGGGCTGACGGGCGGGAGCAGCTCCAGAGTGCCCCGGGCGCCAGCCCGGGGAGCTCTTCGTCGCCGTCGTCCCCCTTCAGGGTCGGCGTCACCGGCCGGAAGGTCTTTCTCCAGTATGCGCAGGCACCCGTCGACGAACTTTGCCTGCACCTCCAGGCAGGGTGGCGGTGTAAAGAATCGCTGGCTCGCAATGATGATTAATGCACCGCCGCCCTCCCCGGCCCAGGAACAATCCATTGGAGGGTGTCTGTCAACATCTTTCGTGGCCGAGCTCACGCGCGAATGTCGGCGCACTCGACCCTCACTTTCTTCCGTCGCTCGCGCGAGGCGGTGGTCCACGGGAGCGACCGCGGAGGCGGCCCTTGCAGCAGCCGGACGTGTTGTCCGTCGAGGGCTGCGGCGTGGGCGGCGGCAGTCGAGGCGAGGACAAAGTCGTCGTAGCGCGCAGGACGGACGCAGTCGGCGGTGGCTAAGTCGTCGTCGTCGCCGCCGTCGCCGTCGTCGTCGTTGCGATAGAGGCCGCCGCGCAGGAGCGGGCGGCCATGGCCGCACCGAGCGTGAAGAACGGGACTTCTCAGTGCGTCTCTGGAGCCAGGGGGGGGGGGGGGGGCGGACGGGGAGACAGGGTCAGCGGGCAGAGACTGCGGAGGGCGAGGTCCCGACTCTTGCTTCTTCCTGTCCCGCAGCAACGTCCACGGGTTTCGATGCTGACCCTGTCGGCCCGCGCTCGTGCCGTTCGCACCACGAGTCAGGCGAAAAGAGATCGCGGAGCAGATCCGCAACCCCAGTCGAGAGGGACGAGGGCCGATCGAGAGGGGTGAAGGCCAGAGGACAAGGTCCCAGATGCAACGAGTGGCTGCGCTCGGCCCAGCAGGGTGGGGGGCTCCTCAGAGACCGAAGGGCTGCGAGCCGACACCGACAAGGACAGGAGATGAGGGGATCGACCGCTGTGCCGAAGATAAGCTAGAACGGCTGCTCTGCTCGAGGCCAGGATACAAAACCCTTCTCAGGACTGGGCGAAGGAGGAGAAGGAGAAGCAGGAGGAGAAGGAAGAGGAGGACGAGCAGGAGGAGGAGGAAGAAGAGGAGGAGCAGGAGAAGGAGGAGGAGCAGGAGGAGCAGGAGCATGAGGAGCAGGAGGAGGAGGAGGAGGAGGAGGGCCTCCTCCAAGAAGGAGGAGGGCAAGATCAGTCAGCACCGCATCGGGAAATCGAACCGGACTGGAACGTGTATCGAGTCGAGCCTTCACGTTGATGGGCCAATTGTCCACCACCGCCACTACCATAGGTAGGCCAGGGGAGAAGGGAGGGGAGGTCCTCTTCCCCAACCTCCACCTCGTCCTCCTCCTCCACATGCCTCGCCTACATGTGGCAGTGGTGGTGGAAACTCGGCCCATCAAACATCACGGAGGCGGAACGAGATCGGATCGGTCACGCCCGGATGCACGAAGTAACGACGCCATGCGAGAACACCGGGCCGCATATCGGAGCCTCGTGAACGACGCGGAGACGAACATCGGGTCGGGCCAGCTGCAGTCGACAGCGGATCGGATCGAGCTCATCGGCATGGGCCACGGGAGGAGGGAGACGGTAGAAGGAAACGATTCGTGGGCACTCCTCCGCTCCCCAAAACCCAAAGCTGGCTCGCGCGGGGAGGACTGCGGTCGAAGTGCAGATCGTTCAACCCGCCGCCAACATTGATCATTGAGGGGGGGGGGCATTGACAGATGAATGCGGCATGAGTGTTCGCTAATTTCTTTATAGGCCTGGATGGAAGGGCGATTGCGCTCACCCGTGTCCACCTCTCCTTCGCCCCCGGACGCGATCGACCTCGCCAGGCGAGAGGCGGGCCTGATGTGGTGGGACTCCTGTCGGGGAGACGTAAGCCTCGGGTTCGGGGTACTCGGGCTGGCCTGGCGGGGTCGTCAAGACAACGACGAGACCCGGTCCGAAACTTGACGCGAGCTCCCGCTGCAAACATCCCACGAAAACTGGACCATCAAAATTCAGCTCACGTGCACGAGCTTTACGCTTCCCCAGTCCTTTTCAGGAGGCCCTGGAGCGCGCTGTGCATCATCACTCGGCGTAACGGCCGTCACGGGGCCCGCCCCCCCCCCCCCCCAACCCCCCTGGTGACGTCTGGGACGGTCTGGCAGCCAATGCCACTCTGGACCATTCCCAGCCCCCACGGACACGACACGTGGTGTCTCTGGGCCCCTCCCCCCCCCCCCCCCTTGTGACGCACGTGATGCCGGGAGGACAAAAAGCTTGCTCCTGGTCACAACCGCCAGCTCAGTCCTCTCCCAAGCCCGGGCTTCCTCCCACGCCGCAGGGCTCTCCGCCGTGGGCACCTGCACGAGGCCTTGGGCCCTCGGAGCGGAGGCTCATGTGCTGAACCCCCCTCTTTCATCCTCCTCCTCCTCCTCCTCCTCCTCCTCCTCCCCCTCCTCCTTCTCCTCCTTCTCCTCCTCCTCCTCCTTCTCCTCCTCCTCCTCCTCCTTCTTCTCCTCCTCCTCCTCCTCCACTCGCCACCCACTACGAGGGAGGGGGGCCCAAGACCCCCGACGTCGGCCCCTGGAGGTCTGGGCCCCTTTTCCGTGGCACCAGCGCTTCATCCCGAGTCGTTTCCTGACGGTGCGGGCGCCCGACGACGGCCACCAGAGGCCGACGAAAGGTCCCTAAAAAACCTTCCGTCGCGAATCGTTCACGACGCGAGGGGATCTGGGGGGCGAGGGGGGATAATCGGATCGGCGGGTGTGGTAAGAGTCTCTGGTCCTTCTTCACTGGGTCGCTGTACGAGTAGATGCTGAACAGGGCCGACGCCTTCTCGCCGACCGTGCCCTTGGACGCGCAGATGAAGGACATGAAGAGCTCGTTCAGGCTGATCTTGTCCTCCTGGTGTGGCTCCGCCATGTTTCGAGAGGGGTCGTAGAGGCCCAGGGTGTCGGCGAGCTGCTTCTGGAGAGGCGTCTGAATTGGCAGACGGTTGAGCGGCTGCATTGGCAACGCCCGCGCCCGGCACGAGAAGGCGTTCCACAGAGCCCCGCTGTGGCTCGACCAGGCCCTCACCATCGAGCACCGCTCGAAGACGCTGCTGAGCTCGGCGGGGGTGAGGCCCGGCAGCTCCAGGCCGGGCATGGGCTGGTCGCTGGGGCTGCTCCCCCTGGGCTTCGTCGGGCCCACAAGCCAGGGCTGGTGGTCGAGGACCGGCTTCTTGACGTTCAGGTTCTGGCCGACGCGCGCCCACGCCTGTCGGCGGCAAGGCCCCAGTGGGAAGGCACCGACTATACACCAACACACCGATCCTGGCCCAGGATCACCCTGGGCCCAGGATCGGTGTATACGCCCTCCTGCCCTGGGCAAGAAGGCATATACACCGATCCTGGGCCCAGGGTGATCCTGGGCCAGGATCGGTGTTGGTGTATAGTTGGTGCCCTCCGACCCAGGGAGAGGTGAGAGGGGGGCTGGCCTGCTCAGAAGGCTCGGGAGCCCCCGGGCCTTCTGAGAAGTTGTCGGAGCCTTCCCGAAGGCACAGAGAATCCGCCGACCTCTCAGGCTTCATCGGCGTGTGAGACGGTTCCTTCTCCCCAAAACCCCTCCCCCGGGAGCCCGGTCCGGTCGATTTGGAGGGGGGGGTCCCCCGGGAGGTGGCTGAACACGCCTGGGGGCGCAGAGGGCCCCAAAGCAGGTCAAGAGGGCTCCACGAGACCCCTCGGGCGGTTCACGAGGGCCACGAATCGCCGAAAGATCTGTCCAAAACGCGCATGCTGGCCTGCCGAAAGCCCAAGAGGCCCCCAAGACGCCCCCAAGACGCCCCAAGAAGCCCCCCAAGAGGCGCCCCAAGAGGGCCTCCAGAAGCAAAAAACGCCCCATTCCCTTAGGACAACGTGCATTTTTAGCACATTCGCCTCGTGGGCGTTCACAACGTCGCTGACGGCCCGAGAGGCCGTGAAGATCGCCCCAAGACGGGCCAAGAGGACCCCACTTGGGCTCCAAGACGACCCAAGAGGGCCCCGAGAAGCTCCCATGACGGCCCACAGCCCCAAGAGGGGGCCCAGAGGGGGAACCCGAACAGACATTTCGAGTCATCCACCCCAAGACGCCTCTGGGTTGCCCCAAAGAGCTCCCAACAGGCCCACAGGGAGCCCCAAGATAGCGGCAACAAGCCCCCAAGAGGCTCCCAGGAGGCCCCCAAGAGGTTCAAACAAATGTCTCCGAGACGCCCCCGAGACGCCTCCCACGAGACCCCATCAGCCATCCGAGTGGCCTCAGACTCGCAACCCAG